AAAGTGTAACTTTCCAAAACTGAACCAGGAAGAAATAGAAAACCTTAACAGACCCACCACAAGCAGGGAAATTGAAACTGTAATCAGAAATCTTCCAGCAAACAAAAGCCCAGGACCAGACGGCTTCGCAGCTGAATTCTACCAAAAATTTAGAGAAGAGCTAACACCTATCCTACTCAAACTCTTCCAGAAAATTGCAGAGGAAGGTGAACTTCCAAACTCATTCTACGAGGCCACCATCACCCTAAAGCAAAACCTGACAAAGATGCCACAAGAAAAGAAAACTGCAGGCCAATATCACTGATGAACATAGATCCAAAAATCCTTCACAAAATTCTAGCAAACATAATTCAACAACATGTTAAAAATATCATACATCATGAGCAAGTGGGCTTTAATCCCGGGGATGCAAGGATTCTGCAATATCTGCAAATCAATCAATGTAATACACATTAACAAATTGAAAGATAAAAACCATATGATTATCTCAATAGATGCAGAAAAAGCCTTTGACAAAATTCAACACCCATTTATGGTAAAAAAACAAACAAACAAACAAACTCTCCAGAAAGCAGGAATAGAAGGAACATACCTCAATGTAATAAAAGCTATATATGACAAACCCACAGCAAACATTATCCTCAATGGTGAAAAACTGAAAGCATTTCCCTTAAAGTCAGGAACAAGACAAGGGTGCCCACTCTCACCACTACTATTCAACATAGTTTTGGAAGTGTTGGCCACAGCAACCAGAGCAGAAAAAGAAATAAAAGGAATCCAGATTGGAAAACAAGAAGTAAAACTCTCACTGTTTGCAGATGGCATGATCCTCTACATAGAAAACCCTAAAGAACCCACCAGAAAAACTAGAGCTAATCAATGAATATAGTAAAGTTGCAGGATATAAAATCAACACGCATAAATCCCTTGCATTCCTATACACCAACAATGAGAAAACAGAAAAAGAAAATAAGGAAACAATTCCATTCACCATTTCAATGAAAAGAATTAAATACTTAGTAATATATCTACCTAAACAAACAAAAGACCCTTATATAGAAAACTATAAAACACTGGCGAAAGAAATCAGAGAGAACACAAATAGATGGAGAAATACACTGTGCTCATGGACTGGAAGAATCAATATAGTGAAAATGAGTATACTATCCCAACCAATCTATAGATTCAATGCAATCCCTATCAAGCTACCAACAGTATTTTTCACAGAACTAGAACAAATAATTTCACAATTTGTACAGAAATACTAAAAACCTCAAATAGCCAAAGCAATCTTGAGAAAGAAGAATGGAATTGGAGGGATCAACCTGCCTGACTTCAGGCTCTACTGCAAAGCCACAGTCATCAAAACAGTATGGTACTGGCACAAAGACAGGAATATAGATCAATGGAACAGAATAGAAAGCCTGGAGATAAATCCACGTACCTATGGACACCTTATCTTCGACAAAGGAGGCAAGGATACACAATGGAAAAAAGACAACCGCTTTAACAAGTGGTGCTTGGAAAACTGGTCAACCACTTGTAAAAGAATGAAACTAGAACACTTTCTAACACCATACACAAAAATAAACTCAAAATGGATTAAAGATGTAAGATCAGAAACTATAAAACTCCTAGAGGAAAACATAGGCGAAACACTCTCCGACACAAACCACAGCAGGATCCTCTATGACCCACCTCCCAGAATATTGGAAATAAAAGCAAAAATAAACAAATGGGACCTAATTAAAATTAAAACTTCTGCACAACAAAGGAAACTATAAGTAAGGTGAAAAGACAACCCTCAGAACAGGAGAAAATAATAGCAAATGAAGCAACAGACAAAGGATTAATCTCAAAAATACACAAGCAACTCCTGCAGCTCAATTCCAGAAAAATAAATGACCCAATCAAAAAATGGGCCAAAGAACTAAACAGACATTTCTCCAAAGAAGACATACAGATGGCTAACAAACAAATGAAAAGATGTTCAATATCACTCATTATCAGAGAAATGCATATCAAAACCACAATGAGGTACCATTTCATGTCAGTCAGAATGGTTCCTAGCCAAAAGTCTACAAGCAATAAAAGTTGGAGAAGGTGTGGAGAAAAGGGAACCCTCTCATACTGTTGGTGGGAATGCAAACTAGTACAGCCACTATGGAGAACAGCGTGGAGATCCCTTAAAAAACTGGAAATAGAACTGCCATATGACCCAGCAATCTCACGGCTGGGCATACACACCAAGGAAACAGAATTGAAAGAGACACGTGTACCCCAATGTTCATCACAGCACTGTTTATAATAGCCAGGACATGGAAGCAACCTAGATGTCCATCAGCAGATGAATGGATAAGAAAGCTGTGGTACATATGCACAATGGAATATTACTCAGCCATTAAAAAGAATACATTTGAATCAGTTCTAATGAGGTGGAGGAAACTGCATCCTATTATACAGAGTGAAGTAAGCCAGAAAGAAAAACACCAATACAGTATACTAACGCATATATATGGAATTTAGAAAGATGGTAATGATGACCCTATATGCGAGACAGCAAAAGAGACACAGATGAATAGAGAAGTCTTTTGGAATCTGTGGGAGAGGGCAAGGGTGGGATGGTTTGGGAGAATGGCATTGAAACATGTATATTATCATTTGTGAAATGGATCGCTAGTCCAGGTTTGATGAATGAGACAGGGTTCTCAGGGCTGGTGCACTGGGATGACCCACGGGGATGGGATGGGGAGGGAGGTGGGAGGGGGGATCAGGATGGGGAACACATGTACACCCATGGTGGATTCATGTCAGTGTATGTAAAAACCACTAGAATATTGTAAAGTAATTAGCCTCCAATTAAAATAAATAAATTTAGATTAAAAAATAAAAATAAATAAAATTTTCAAATGCAAAAAAAAAAATTCCTGTCCCAATCACACATTCCCTCTGTCACACTCACTCAAAACCATGCACCTGTCACAGTCGTAAACTCTCTGAGAAACTTATTCTATCATTCAGTGTCTTTCCTTTATACTTCTGTTACTCTCTTGTCACACACATTATTTGTCATTGGCATTATCACTATCCTTTGCAGATCTCACCATTCAGACTCAACTTAAGTCCCATGCCTGATGGAGTACTACAGCCATCATACTTTTGAGAAATGCAGAAAGCAAAATGCACAAGACTTTGAGCCGCTGGCATTGGGGAGAGAGAGAGAGAGAGAGAGAGAGTGTGTGTGTGATTTGTGTAGAGGAGACCTGCATCACGGGAGACAGGATAGTAACATGGCAATACTGTCTGAAAACTGACTTGATACACAAACATATGGAAAGCCCATGAAACGGTGCATGGACCATAGCAAGTGTTAGCTATCACTTTGGATGAAGAGCAGATGTACTGATGTAGAGTGGGCAGAGGAAGGAAGCTGGTGGGTCGTTTGTCTTAGCCCCTCGCCCTCTAGTCTATCATAGTCTAGTGAGCCCCCTTCTACAGCACGAGTATCCTTACAAATGTCCCCCCAACCTGACAGTGGGCCCCTGAAGGAGAGATGTGTCCAGGCTCCCCGCTGGGGTCCTCTAGGCCACAGAGCAGGGGAGAGACACAGGCATTAGACAGGGACTATCCACACCTTAAAACTGACTTGGAACCATAATGCAGACAAACTGCGTGGGTGGGAAGGCGCGACATGGATGCCCCACCCACAGGGAAAGGTCAGCCACAGCTGGTGCCTCTTACCATCCAGTGGGGGCGGGGGAAGGCTGCTGGCCTTGGATTTGAGGGCTGAGAGGACTCTCCAGCCAGGGGCTGGGGATCAGGGCCGGGAGAGGGCAAGAGACTGTGTGGAGTCCAGGGGAACATCGCCCTTCCCCCAGTCCTTGAGTCTAGCCGGTTCCTCCAGTGCTTCTGAGGGGCCTGGTGCAAGCCCACAGACTGGAGTCCCTGCAGTCTGTATGCCTGGAGCCCCAGGCAGCCCAGCCCCATGCCATACCAAGTGAGTCCATCAGCAGTCCCCGCTTCCCTCCCCAGGCGGGCAGGCACAGCAGGCTCCGCATTCCCGCTATCATTCCTCCAGGGCCAGGCCACCCCACTCCCATGTGAAGGCACCTGTGCAAGCATGCACACAGGCACACATGCCCATGTGAATGCAATTCAACCATGCTGTCTTTGACACACACACACACACACATGCACACGGACACACTCATGTGCATGTACCTGACCACTCGTTCTCCCGTAACCACACATATATGCCCATGTGCAAGCACCTCCACACAACAGACACATGCACACGCCTATGTGCGTGAATCTGTGAATGTGCACTCTCTCTGAAACACACCCACACACACGCCCATGTTCATGCACCTGCCCATGCGCTCACGCACACAGATGTACATACACGCACATGAGCTATGTGTGAGACACCAGAGGGACAGACCGGCCCTGATCCAGGGGTTCCCGACTCCCTTCTGGGAGTCGATGACAAGGACCTGCGCTCAGCAGGATGGTCACCTGTGAGCGACGCCAGGCTGGCAGCAACACAGACTTGGAGGTGCACAGGGACCGGGGCTCACTTGGGGTTTGCAGATTTGGAGTGGAAACAGTCACGTGCCCTAAGGAGTGGGGCGGGGTCTGTTTGAGCATGCGCACTGAGAAGCTGCCCCCACACTAAAGGGTGGAGCGCCACCCAGAGGCCTCGCGGCTGAGCCGTTTACCGGTCTTCCGGGCCCTGAGGCAGGGCTGACACAGAGGGCCCAGACCACGTGGGTGGGCGTCTGCGCACGCACATTGGGGCGACATGGCACGCGAACACGTGACGTTTCAGCAGGGGGCGCCATTTTGCCCGAGAGCCTGCAGTCTTCGCGGGAACCAATGGTTGGTGGGAACCAATCGTGAGGCAGGACCAGGGGGTGTGTGCGCAGGCGCTCTGCTGGGCTGGAATCTGTAGGGACCGTTCAGTCTTTCCCACCACGGAGGGCGGGGGAGAGTGGTTCAAGATGGAGTCCGAGGCACACGGTGGAGGAGCCATGAGGGCAGCCGATGAAGACGCAGGTGCCGAGGCCTCTGCAGCGGGCACAGCACGGGGCAGCCAAGGTGTGCCGGGTGGTGCTGCTGGCCGCCATGGCCCTGGCGACCCAGCTGGCCCTGGAGATGCCGTCAGTCGAGGAGTCCCTGCCGGCTCCGGCGACATGGCTGATCCCAGAGAGCCCAGCGCTGCCGGAGAGTCAGGTGGCGCAGCCGCTGCCATTCCGCAGATCCCGGGGGCACCTCACGCTCTAGGGCCTGGTGGAGACGCTACACCTGGAGCCGGAGTTCTGATTAACCGAGCCCTCCAGTTGTATCCTATTCCAGGAGCCCCGGTGGGCCGGGCCGCTACAGGGATCGGGGTGTGGGCTAGGGGTGGTTTGGGGGGATCCAGGCAGTGGGGCTTAAACTGTAGGGGGAGGGTACTCTGGGGGGCTGGAGGGTATGGGTCAGGGGTGGCCTGGCTGCCAGGGGAAGGGGGTGAGGAAAAGCAACCTGAAGGGAACCAGAGGGTCGGGCGGTGATAGCCAGGGCGTCCGGTGGTGGCCTTGTGGGAAAAGTCAGGTCTCTGTGAGCAGGGAGCCTGACGTACAGACAAAATGACTAGTGTGAATGGTACCTTAACCGTATCTCCACCAGCAGCCTCGCCTTGCCTTTCGCATCGCCTGGGCGGGCGGACTATGCCTGCCACCTCCTGACTGAACGTACTCAACTGCGATGGCCGGTTCGGAGGGAACTCTACGTTCGTGGCCGCATGTTGGTTCTGTAAGTTCTAAAGGGGGCTGGGGTGAGGGACAAAGTGGAGGGCAGTGACCAGTCTTGGCCCAGGAGGAGCCATAATGGAGGGTTAAGCCTAGAGGAGAAGTGTGGTACTTTGGGCTTGTCTGTGTGCGGGGACAGAGGGAGGACATGCTCCTCTTCCTCCTTCTAGTGAGAACTTGAATTTCATTTTCCTTCCCTTTTAGCCGTTTGACTGCTGAAGACCATGACCTGCTCGACACAGCTGTCGCTTTCTTTCTGGAGCAGGTTTCCCTGGTGAGGTGGACCTTGCAGCACTTTTTGCACCCTCTTTTTGCTTAGTCTCCGCACAGAAGAGGGGCTTAAACCTTGCCCATGTGCCCTACCTTCAAGTGTCCTTCCATTGGGCATTTCTTTCTGCAGTAGTTTGATCGGACTTCATCTTGTGCCTGTGGTGCTATTTGGGGGCTCAGGGTCCACATAGTTTGTTTGGTGACTGTTAACTGCAGAAAATAAAAGGGAGCTACTGTGCTGTCTCTGAGTTTAGTTTTAGCTTGTTCACTTCCTAATACTGCATTCATCTACTGGGTGGAGGGGAGGTTCTGAGATCCAGATATTCAAGGAGAACAACATAAGTGAAGACAATGTAAGAAGTGGGAGAATAAGAAAGTTGGGTACTGCCATTCAGTATTGATTTTGAAATATATTGTTGATTTTATAGTTACATTTATATATTAAGATATAATACCAGAACCTTGTTGTTGTTGCTCAGTCTCTAACCAGTGTCCAACTCTTTGCAACCCCATGGACTGCAGCAAACCAGGCTCTGTGTCCCCACTGTCTCCTGGAGTTTGCTCAAGTTCATTTCGATTGAATGGGTTATGCTGTCAAACCAACTCATCCTCTGTTTATGTTTGTGTATGTGTTAGGAAGTGCTGTCATTTCATTCTTTTACATGTAGCTGTCCAGTTTTCCCAGCACCATTTTTGTAGAAGTTGATGAGCTGATTTCTTAAACAAATGCTTTCTTTCTTTCACCCCATTGGGCCTTATTTGGGGAATGTTGAAACATCATTGTGTCACGTGGGATCTTTTATTGACGTGCACAAACACTCCAGTCGCGATACCCAGGTTCAGTAGTTGCTCCACTGCGTGTAGGATCTTAGTTCCCTGACCAGAGGTGGAAGTGATGTGCTGCACATTGTGAGGCAGGTTCTTTCTTAAAAGATTCATTTGTTTGTTTATATAATTTTGGCTTGGCTGGGTCTTTGCTGCTGCACACATGGGGTTTTTCTGGTTGTGGTGAGTGGGGGCTATGCTTTAGTTGTAGCAGATAAACTTCTCATTGGGGTGACTTCTCTTGTTCCAGAGCACAGGCTCTAGGCACTCCAGCTTCAGTAGTTGCAGCTGGTGGGCTCTAGAGCATAGGCTCAGCCATTGTGCTGCTCGGGCTTAGTGGCCTTTTCGCTTGTGGGATCTTACCAGAGCAGAGATCAAACCCATGTTCCCTGAATTGGCAGGTTGAGTGTCAACCACTGGATAACCAGAGAAGTCCCTGATAAGCTGATATTGAAATATATGTGAGAACAGAAGCCCGATGATGGCCTGAACAACTGTGACTATGCACAGATAAAAAGACCAAGACAGTCTAATTTCATAGCTTACTGTACATGTCCAGTACTGGAGCTGTGGATCCATGGGACAGGGCTGACAATCGAGAAATATTTCCAACTTTTAAGTTTAATCAGGTCCCACTTGTTTACTTTTGTTTTTATTTCTGTTACTCTAGGAGATGGGTCATAGTGGCTCTTGTTTTGATTTATATCATAGAGTGTTCTGCCTGTATTTTCCTCTTATTTTGTAATAGTTTCTAGTCTTCCATTTAGGTCTGTAATCCATTTTGAGTTTGTCTTTATGTATGGTGTTTGGAAGTGTTCTAATTTCATTCTTTTACATGTAGCTGTCCAGTTTTCCCAGAACCAGTTATTGTAGAGGCTGTCTTTATTCCAATGGTACATTCTTGCCTCTTTTGTCAAAAATAAGGTCCTGGGATGGTCCTAAAATGGTGGAGGAATTTTGGTGGATGTCCAAAAGGGGAGACCACTTTCTCCCCTACCACAAATTCATCAAAAGATCATTTGAATGCTGAAGAACTTCATGAAACAACTTCTGAACACTGGCAGAGGACACCAAGCTCCCAGAAAGGCATCCCATTCTCTTAGAAAGGAGGTAGGACAAAATATAACACAAAAAGAGGCAAAACAGTTAGGGACAGAGACCATCCTGGAGAGGGAGTCGTGAAGGAGGAGAAGTTTCCAAACAGCTGGATCTGTGGGAGTTTGGAATCGCAGAGGGCAACATAACTGGGAGAAAGGAAAAAAATCTTCACAGAACAGGCGCCTAACCGCAACTCCCAGTGGAAAAGTAGCCCAGACACTTAACGTCTGCCATGAGCGAGCAGGGCCTGGATAGGGAGGTGTGGGTTGCATGCTTAGGGTAAGGACTGAGCATGAATGCCCTGATGACAGTCTGAGGGAGTTATCATGAGATAGCAACCCCAACTGTGAGATAGCCAAAGAGGGAAAAAAATAGGGAACTTTCCTGCGAAAGGCTCTAACCTAAGGTACAGCCTGGCCCTGGCCCCTCAGAGAACAAAGGACTGAGCCAATAACAAAGGAGAGCTGGCTGGCTGCGGACCGGCCCCTCCCCTACTGGAGGCAGAGAGGCAGGTGTGCGACAGTCATAGCTGGAAGGTAAGGAGCCATCTCAGCCCCAGAAATGGCATCCTCCACCAAACTGTGAGCAGGCTTCCAGTTGCTAACCACGCCTTCCTGGGATCCTGGACAATTGACATCTGCCAGGAGGGTCACAGCCTGAGATCAGCTCCCCAGAGGAGACACATGGCATGTCTGAGATAGAGCTCTCCCAGGGCACCCGGGAAACAAAGCGGCCAGGACCAAGGAGGTGATTAAGATGTACGGCCCACCTTGTTACTGCACTCTCCAAGCACCTGGCCACCTGAGCTGCTCAGACCTGGGAAGGGCACAAAATGCACGCCCAATCAAGTCTGTGCCCTTGCGCAGTACTCAAGAACCTGAACCTGAGCAGCTCAGACCTGGAAAGTGCACGAAACACAGGGTATGCTCTGGACAGTTTCCCTGCAGAGGAACTTGGAGCCTGAGCAGTGTAGACCACAAAAGCATATGCCGTGATGAGCTGGGGCAAACCCAGTGTGGTCCATACACTGAGAACACTCCCCACACACATGCCAGTGAGGTTTGTTTGCTGTGTTCCTGCCTCCCCACAACACAACTGAACAAGTGAGCCTAAATGAGTGACCACCCTGCCCCCTTGTGTGAGGTCAGAAATTAGACACTGAAGAGACTTGCAAACAGTGGAAGCCAAAATAAACAAAACAAGAGGGAACCACTCTGGAAGTGACAGGAGTGACAGATGAAAACCCTATAGTTAGCATTAACTAAGCATTGGAGGGGCCTGTAGACCTTGAGAAGTATAAGCTGGAACAAGGACCTATCTGAAACTGAACTGACTCCACATTGCTCTCAACAGCTCCAGAGAATTCTAGATATATTTTTACTATTAGAATTTTTGAATTACTTTTTTATTTTTAAGTTCTTCATTACCCCTTTAATTTTCATTTTTGTAACCTACTATTACCTTACCAAAAAAAAAGATCCTATTTTTAAAGCAAATTTCATATATATATATATATATCTTTTATAATATTTGTGATTAGTTTTGTTTCATGTTTTTAATATTGTATTTTTGAGAGTCTAAATTCTACTCTAGATTTTTCATCTGTGATTTTTTTTCTTCCAACTTTGGTTTTATTTTTATTTTGTTTGTTTGTTTGGTTTTTTGGTTTTATTTTATTTTTCATTTATTTTTATTAGTTGGAGGCTAATTACTTTACAATATTGTAGTGGTTTTTGCCATACGTTGACATGAATCAGCCATGGATTTACATGTGTTCCCCATCCTGAACCCCCCTCCTGCCTCCCATCCCATCCCTCTGGGTCTTCCCAGTGCACGAGCCCTGAGCACTTGTCTCATGCATCCAACCTAGGCTGGTGATCTGTTTCACCCTTGATAGTATACTTGTTTCAATGCTGTTCTCTCAGATCATCCCACCCTCACCTTCTCCCACAGAGTCCAAAAGTCTGTTCTGTACATCTGTGTCTCTTTTGCTGTTTTGCATATAAGGTTATCATTACCATCTTTTTAAATTCCATATATATGCATTAGTATACTGTATTGGTCTTTATCTTTCTGGCTTCTTTCACTCTGTATAATGGGCTCCAGTTTCATCCATCTCATTAGAACTGATTCAAATGAATTCTTTTTAATGGCTGAGTAATATCCCATTGTGTATATTTACCATAGCTTCCTTATCCATTCGTCTGCTGATGGGCATCTAGGCTGCTTCCATGTCCTGGTTATTGTAAACAGTGCTGTGATGAACATTGGGGTGCACGTGTCTCTTTCAATTCTGGTTTCCTTGGTGTGTATGCCCAGCCGTGAGATTGCTGGGTCATATGGCAGTTCTATTTCCAGTTTTTTAAGGAATCTCCATGCTGTTCTCCATAGTGGCTGTACTAGTTTGCATTCCCACCAACAGTGTAAGAGGGTTCCCTTTTCTCCACACCCTCTCCAGCATTTATTGCTTGTAGACTTTTGGATAGCAGCCATCCTGACTGGCATGTAATGATACCTCATTGTGGTTTTGATTTGCATTTCTCTGATAATGAGTGATGTTGAGCATCTTTTCATGTGTTTGTTAGCCATCCGTATGTCTTCTTTGGAGAAATGTCTGTTTAGTTCTTTGGCCCATTTTTTGATTGGGTCATTTATTTTTCTGGAACTGAGCTGCAGGAGTTGCTTGTATATTTTTGAGATTAACCCTTTGTCTGTTTCTTCATTTGCTATTATTTTCTCCCTATCTGAGGGCTGTCTTTTCACCTTGTATATAGTTTCCTTTATTGTGCAAAAGCTTTTAAGTTTAATTAAGTCCCATTTGTTTATTTTTGCTTTTATTTCCAATATTCTGGGAGGTGGGTCATAGAGGATCCTGCTGTGGTTTATGTCAGAGAGTGTTTTGCCTATGTTCTCCTCTAGGAGTTTTATAGTTTCTGATCTTACATCTTTAATCCATTTTGAGTTTATTTTTGTGTATGGTGTTAGAAAGTGTTCTAGTTTCATTCTTTTACAAGTGGTTGACCAGTTTTCCAAGCACCACTTGTTAAAGCGGTTGTCTTTTTTCCATTGTATATCCTTGCCTTCTTTGTCGAAGATAAGGTGTCCATAGGTACGTGGATTTATCTC